GGAGGAGGAGGAGGAGGAGGAGGAGGAGGAGGAGAAGAAGAAGAAGAAGAAGAAGAAGAAGAAGAAGAAGAAGAAGAAGAAGAAGACGACGACAGACCGACCAATCCAAACAGGATAAAGGAGAGATGGTGGGGTGGGGGTGGGGAAGTGGCTCAGCCATTTGCATAAGCACTTGAAACCCAAGCCTGTGGAGCGGTTTCAACCCCTAGAAACCGGTGGAAATACCACAACCTCCCCGTAATTGCAGCATCAGAAGGCAAAGATGGGATCCCTGGAGCAAGCTGGCTCAAGGAACTCTTGGTTTGATTGAGACTGCCTGCCTCAAGGTAAATCAAAGATGATTCCTGGCATCAGCCTCGGGCCGCCATGTGCTTGTACACACTGTACACACACACACACCCATGCACATGCAAAAACACGATGCACACTCCACAAACGAAGAAAGAAAAGAAGAATAAAAAGACACGAAATGGAAATACACGAAGTGTAGTGCCCAGTAAAATCATGTGAATGAACATGTGTTTATTTTGTTTTGTTTAATTTGAAGCATCCTCATGCAGCCAGGCTAACCTCCATCTTGCTACGTAACTGAGAATGACCTTGAACTCTGATCCTCCTGCCTCTACCTTCCAAGTGCTGTGATTACAGGTGTGCCTGTCCATGCCTGATTTTATGGGGTTCTTGGGCTCAAAGCTGGGACTTCAGGCATACTAGACAGACCACATTCCCAGTGCCATCACGTGAGATTACTAATCACTAAAAAATAAGGAACGGCCAAAAATCAAAATGAGATATCATTTTATCTACCAGTAGGCAAGCATCACGTTGGCAAAAACCAAGTGTTGGCACAATGGCGAGGACACGGAGACGTATCTGCACAGATGTTCGGTGGGAGTGTGCTGGGTACAGCCTTCCTTGGAGAGGGTAGCTTGGCAGGACGTAAATGTGAAGGCACCATAGGGCAGTGATGTAAGTAATGCAGAGGCACCAAGAATGGAATGTGGTTGCTGTGGCTCACAGAGATGGTGGCATGAAGTCGAATGTCCCCAGACAGAAGCTGCCCAGCCCTTCAGTTCCCTAGTGACAGTGATAGCCAGCCAAGGACACTTGCCAATGCTCCCACGCAGAAGGCTGATTCCTCCAGAGACAGGGAGCTCACAGCCTCCCATTCTTACATGACCTTTATTCTCTCTGGACTCCTCCTGGGGTGTCGACCCCTCCCTCGTACAAGCTGGGCACCGGTTCCACAGCAACCCAGTGCCTGCTTTAGTTTCCAACCGAAAGGTTTAGAGGGACTCTTCCGAGCTTACCATTTTCCTCCAAAAAATGCGCTGCCCCCCGCCAGGACTGTTTTTCCTGCAGGATCAAGATGTAACACCGACCCCAGACAGCCAACTTCCAGGATGGATCTTAAGAAGAAAGAGGAATCACTTGGCCCCAAGCCTGACAGTGGGACTGGGACCCACAGGATGTGAGAGCTGACTCCAGCAAGCTATGTTCTGACCTCTACACAAGCACCCTAGCCCATGTTCCCTCTCCCTCATTTAACAATTAAAAAGAGAGAGAGAGAGAGAGAGAGAGAGAGAGAGAGAGAGAGAGAGAGAGAGAGAGAAGAGGAAGGAAAAAAGGAAGGAAGGAAGGAAGGAA